AAGGCAGTCTCAAGGAAGTCTAGGATAGCTAATGGAGGATTGTGAATGGAAACCTGCCAGTGCTATAGGAGGAGTGTGTGGAAGGGTGTGGGGTGAAGGGAGAGTGTCAGTAAAAAGGTGCTTACTTCTACTCAGGCATAATCTGAGATTCCTGGCAGTTGGAAGTCACCAAAGAGCCTTGTTCCTCTCCTTTCCCCACCTCATTATATGTGGCTTTTAATTATAAGCTTGTAGAGTTTGTCTTTGAACTCCTTTGGACTTCAACTCCCTTAGATAAAATGTACTGTAGCCACTTGTTGTTGTTTAGTCGTTTAGTCGTGTCCAACTCTTTGTGACCCCATGGACCAGAGCACACCAGGCACTCCTGTCTTCCACTGCCTTCTGCAGTTTGGTCAAACTCATGCTGGTAGCTTCAAGAACACTGTCCAACCATCTCATCCTCTGTCATCCCCTTCTTCTTGTGCCCTCAATCTTTCCCAACATCAGGGTCTTAATCCAGTTAATATTAGGGGTTGCAATTGGCAGCCCACAGGTAACGAGTAGCCCAGGATTGGGGAACTTTTTCTGTGGTGTGTCACATTTCCTTGGTGCTAATCTGTCAGAGACTGCATGCTGAGAGTGGGGAAGATCCTTTTCTCCCTCTTGGCTCCCCACACTTGCGTAAAGTTAGGCCTGTGGATTACTCACCCAAGGTCTAAGCACTTTGGCCACATAGTTTCCAACCTAATGGAGAAAGGAAGAGTCTGGAGAGAGAAGCTGCTAGCAGGTCATACTGAGTAGTTAGCTTTGCTCACCTCCCACCCCCGCCATGATCACTTCTCAAAGTTTCCCCCTGGTAAAACGTAACTACTGAGTAGGATCTTTGATCAGTTCCACAGTGTTAGGTGCTTGTTTCCATAAATACATTTGTTCAAATTTATGAGTTTATGATATCCTCTCAATCGGTTGATGTCAAGATTATCCTGGTAATAAGAAGTGATTGTAATTGGAAGAAGACCCCCCACCCCACCCCAGTAGAAAACTGAATCATACAAAGAGCCTCAAAGTAGACCTTGCTTTTCCCTAAAAGATTTTACAGAGCAAAGCAGAGTTTCAGGTGGGTTCAGCCACTGCCCATAAAACACCTTTCCTCTGTGTCCTTCTGTTATTTATCCCCCCATCCCCTTTTGTGCGTGTTGAAAAGAGCTTGAGGGTGCTGCAGAAGTAGGCACATATTTTATTTTGAGGCGGCAATAACCAGTGTAAGGCTGTCGGGGAGACCAGGTGTATATTTCATTTTTACCTTACTGAAAAGAGTTGAGCTCAGCACTTTATCCTGAATTGCAATTGACCTGCGTGTAGGAAAGTGGCCCCTGTGTTATCCATCTCTTCACTGGGATTTGACACCATACTTTCAGGTGGTTGTTGTATGAAATGCACTTCTAGTTTGAGGTGGTGGACAGCTCCTTTATGAAAATCTCCCTTTTTTATATGAACTAGTTTTAAATGAAACAGGATAAAAATAATATTATATGGAAGAATAATTCAGGGATACTATACAGAAGAGAAATCATGGGATATATAAGAAAAACAGAGAATGAAATACTTGGTTTGACAGACCAAGATTAGAGTCCAGTCCTATTTACGTTTACTCAGAATTAAGTCCCACTTTATTCAGTGGAACCTACTCTCAGGTAAAGGTGCACAGGATTGTAGCCCCACGTGCTATCTTTCCCTTTTTTTGGTAGGATCCAGTCAAAAGCGAACATATCCAAGCCCCATTGACTTTTGTGAGAAGAGAGCTGAGCAAGGGTTAAATTTTCCTATTGAAATCGGCTGGGCTTAAAAGTGCTTGGCTGTATTCATTGATCAAGTAAAAACCAATTTTAATTATTGAGGACAATTTTTAATCTGTGTGGTTGGGAGTTAAAGGCATGCTTATTTATTTTCAAAAGCTATTTGGTTCTCCTATATTGCTGTAATAGGGAAGAGGGGGCATTTTCATATCAGACATTAATTGGTGTGAAATAGTGGCTTGTTAATTGGTGCTATTGTTATCCAGTTCCAGTTTGAAAGTCTATAGTGAAGAGTTCAATTGTCATATGAGCTTGTGGCTGAAAGTAATTGCTATCTGGTGCCCATGGGCTGTGGGTTGGTGGCTATCATGTATTTTTTGACAACTGAAGGGGAGTGGGTGAAGCAGCAATAACTGTACTCTCTCTAATTTTGTGTTCTGCCATACCCCATCGCCGCTGATCTGAAAAGGTTTGTCGCTCTTGTTTTAACTCATTAAACCATTTCTGATTATGAACTCAAGATTGTTCCTATTTTAAATAAAAATTAAAAAACAGACCAGAGCATGTTTCCCCAGCCTTTTTAGTCCTGGGGAGCATATTTGGAAATGGGCATCACAACATATCCATTTCACAGTAAAACCCCCCACAAAACTATAATAGATTCGCCAGCAGGCAAAGCATCACATCCCTAAACAAAAGGAAAATAAAAATCCATCGACAAAAGAAAGAAAGCAGGCAACACCTTCCACCTGCCACAACAGACAACCCCCTTGCCAAATAACCAATTTGTTTTGTTTAATTGAATGGGTGTGTGTTGGTGCCAAGGGGGTGTCTAAGGGTGCTGTGGTGCCCACAGGCACCTGAGGTCCAGAAAACACACACCTTAGGATTGGTTGCTGTGATATAATTCAGCCTCCTGAATTCCGCTCATTCCCTAAGAGAAAAATTGTGCAATCATGCCATGAACGATTTTCTTTGCAGTGCCCTTTCTTAAGGATTGTCAGACTAAGCTAGCAATAGAGAAACATTCTGTCCTGAACTAGGATTAACTTGCATTCAGCTCAGATGATGCAATGATGCAAGGATCTATGAACTGTTGGGATTATTTCGGTATTTTACTTATTTTTACCACAGCTACCCAAGAGCTCAGAATGGCATATAATAAATGGTAGAACAGTAAAATGCAACATTAAAACAACCCATGGATGCTTCAAAAGCCCATGCATGAAATCCACCAGATAAATGTTTCCAGAAGCTGTTTCAGGGCTTATCCGCTCTTAACTTTTGCCCTACTCTTTCCAGGCAAGGTCTGCTCTTTCAAGTTCCGTGTCCAATTGCTCTCCCCCCCCCCCTCGGAGTTTCCCCCATGAAAACTCACTCTTTAAAGCTGAAGTGTGACAAATTGCTATTCTAGTTGCTGATTGCTATTTGCTCTGATTCAGCTCTAAAGATCAGGTTTTCACTGGGAAAGCTTCAGAGGAAAAGAAAAAAAAGGAGCGCTTGCACACAGAGCTTTAAAGAGCAGACCTTGCCTGAAAAGCATGGAGAAAAAGTAAATGTGTTCATAAGAATGTTCATAACAGACCTTTGAGAAAAGGATTGGTTTACAGCAGCCTTCACCAGCCGGGTGCCCAGCTGTGCTGGCTGGGATTGTTGGGAGTTGAGGTTCAAAAACTCTGTGGGGCCATTTAACTGGCAAAGGCTGGTTTATAACACTTCTGAAGACTGGCAGTGTTGGGCTTATCGGGCTTATCCTCATCAACCCTATAGAGCTGGGAACGGCTGCTGAGAAATCCTGCATTATGTTTTAGTAACAGAGCTGGAATATTAATCAGGACCGCCTTGCCTCATCTAATTAGGAGCAAAGGTGTGCAGGGCATGCATTTCCTAAGGTACTTTGAGAATATGGGTTGTGTGGTTCAGCATCAGGATGTTGAACTGAGGTTGGATACTGGCGGTCAGAATACTTGTTCTCAGTCATCAAGCAGTGTGTTCTATAATATTAATCATATTGCACACAGTATCATGCCATTGCATATTTGTAGAAGCTCCAAATCTTATTTCCAAGAATGCTATATCTCTTTGTTAGAAATCAGTGCAGTGCCACATTTGTAATTCTGTTCTATATTAATTTGTCAGTTCCTTGTAAAAAGCCTGTGATTAGTTGGAAGGTATAGCCATCTAGAGCAGTAGTTTCCAAACATTTTACTCCCAGGACCCACTTGAGATGGCTAAAATTACAGAGACCAATGTAGGCCACAAAATAGCTGGAGAGGAAGGGTTTGGTGTAACAAGCTGACAATTACTGGCACTTTCTACTGATAGCTAACCTATGCTTGGATATTGCTAAATTGTTTGCCGTGACATTTTCCTTGCGGCAAGGAGTTCCATAGCTCAGCTTTCCTCACGTTGCATATACCGTATTTTTCGTCCTATAGGACGCACTTTTTCCCATCCAAAAATGAAGGGGAAATGTGTGTGCGTCCTATGGGGCAAATGCAGGCTTTCACTGAAGCCTGGAGAGCGAGGGGGGTCGGTGCGCACTGACCCCTCTCACTCTCCAGGCTTCAGGAAGCTATCTGCTAGCCGTGGGAGACGCAGCTCTCCCACGGCTAGCGGAGACCTTGCCGGCACCCAGAAGCTTGGGGCGTGCTGATCATCTTGTAGCAAGTGGGGAAAAGTAGGAAATAAACCATATTTTGGAGCCAGTGCATACTACTACTACTACTACTAATAATAATAATAATAGAATTTATATACCACCCTGTATCCGCAAGTCTCAGGGCAGTTCAGAATTTACCTTCATGCATTTTTGATATGGCAAAGTCAGCCCACGTTTGCTTTTGGGAGGTTTGCAAATACATTCTGATTCAAATTTATGAGATGCATTGCAACAATAAGAGAGATGTTGCTCAGCCTCTCCTTGTCAAACAAAACCAGGCTGTCTATCCTAGGCAGACTTCTCCCATGAACTAAGGTAACTTTCACCTTGCTCAAACAAGGACATGATTCAGATATCTGTTGGGTAGGAATATATATGTTGTGTCCTATTTTTACCTCGCTTTATTTTTCAGAGCAGAACCATTTTGGCTGCTTTCTTGCATTTGTGAAGTCATTTAGTTGTGCGGTTTGGCTTTCAGTATTATGACCAAATCAAATTTTATTCTTCTCAGTCAGGGGAAAACTTGTTCTGCCAAGCATGATAATGTTTCTCCTCCCGTTTAGCTGAAGAAGATTGGTGGTGGTGGCTTTGGAGAGATTTATGAGGCAATGGATCTTTTGACCCGTGAGAATGTGGCCCTGAAGGTGGAGTCAGCGCAGCAGCCAAAGCAAGTTCTCAAGATGGAGGTGGCTGTCCTAAAAAAGCTACAAGGTAAGTTGTTCTGGAAATGTAAGTTTCTAAAAAAATAAATGAGAGGCACAAATACAAGATGGGTGACACCTGGCTTGAGAGCAGTACATGTGAAAAGGATCTAGGAGTCTTGGTTGACCACAAACTTGACATGAGCCAACAGTGTGACGCAGCAGCTAAAAAAGCCAATGCAATTCTGGGCTGCATCAATAGGAGTATAGCATGTAGATCAAGGGAAGTAATAGTGCCACTGTATTCTGCTCTGGTCAGACCTCACCTGGAGTACTGTGTCCAGTTCTGGGCACCACAGTTCAAGAAGGACACTGACAAACTGGAACGTGTCCAGAGGAGGGCAACCAAAATGGTCAAAGGCCTGGAAACGATGCCTTATGAGGAACGGCTAAGGGAACTGGGCATGTTTAGCCTGGAGAAGAGGAGGTTAAGGGCTGATATGATAGCCATGTGCAAATATATAAAAGGATGTCATATAGAGGAGGGAGAAAGGTTGTTTTCTGCTGCTCCAGAGAAGCGGACACGGAGCAATGGATCCAAACTACAAGAAAGAAGATTCCACCTAAACATTAGGAAGAACTTCCTGACAGTAAGAGCTGTTCGACAGTGGAATTTGCTGCCAAGGAGTGTGGTGGAGTCTCCTTCTTTGGAGGTCTTTAAGCAGAGGCTTGACAACCATATGTCAGGAGTGCTCTGATGGTGTTTCCTGCTTGGCAGGGGGTTGGACCCGATGGCCCTTGTGGTCTATTCCAACTCTATGATTCTATGATTCTAGAGCTTGTGTTTTCATATCTTGTCCACTTTCTCCATTCTTTTGTTGTGCTTACTGGCAAAACCACCACCACCACCCAATAACCCCTAAACACATAATATTAGTGCATAGCACTTTGTGTTTCTCTTTAAAGTCATTTCCACCTTTCACCAGTTTAATGCCACTTGAGCTGTCATGACTCCCCACTGACCCAAATAAGAATTCTGTAAGTTGTAGTTTGGTGAGAATACTAAGAATCCTCTGTTTCAAGATTCCTAGCTTCAGCCTTAGAACTACATTCCCCTGGGTTTCCTGGGGAGAGGGGTTGACCATTTAAACCAGTTTAAGTGTAAATATCTCCTTCCCCACCCTCCAAAAGAATTGTACATACTTCCTGTTTAATCTGCCGTCTTAGGTTGCAGCAGCAAACTTGGCGTGTCAACCAGAACATGATGTTGCCATTTCAGAGTCCTAAGTGTACCTTACATGCTATAGAATTAGTGCAAAGTGGCAGTAGTGCAAGAATTAAAGGCTACTCTGACAGTCCTAAAGACTTGGGCAGTGAACTTTGCCACTATGTAAAATATAACCAGCGTTACTGTGCTAGGAATATTCACAGAAGTAGAGGAGCAGCTGATAGCACCAAGGACAGCTCTAATGATCTGAGAGGAGAACTGAACTTTCTGAGTAGCTCATATTTCTTTTACTGTGTGGATTGGGATTTCTTTTTAAATATTTCCTGTTGCTGCAGCCCTCATAGAAAGAGTGTTTCAAGTCTCACAGATATACAGATTGCTCTGCTGCGTTAGACAATGATCCAACATTTTGCTTCTGAGAGCAACCAGAAAAGAAGCTTGCAAGCAGGGCATAATGAAGATAGCCGTTCCTTGTGTGTGTCCTTAGCATCTAGTTCTCTGAGATAAACACCCATGCAAGATTAAACTTCCAAATATGGATACTCAATTTTGTGGTGATGGTAATAGCCATTAATAGGCAATGGATTTGGCTAAACCTTTTTTAAAAAGCTATCAAAGACACTGGCTATCATTACGGGGTGTGCTAATGAATTTTGTGAGTTAGTCAGGTGTTGTGCATAGGAGAACTTGATATATCTTTTTTTCTCTGCCCTGACCTTACAGCTAGCCAGTTTCAGTGGGTGATCTGGTATAGTTCCTCATTTACCCCTTCAACATGTTGGGATGTAAATTATTTGGTGATGCAGCTGCATGTTTGAAATAATTTTTTCAAACATATAAAGCAAGTTTAAAAGTGCAAGTTAAAAATGAGTTCTTAGTTATAATTCATTTTAAAGGGGATTTACTCCTATATTGTTAGTTTTTAATGTTATTATTGGGGCACCCCCCCCCACGACCACAACTGTTTCTTTTTTACAGTGCATTTCATAGCAGTTACTTTTAACAAGTGGAGGAAATGTGATTCTTGAGTGTTTGCATTAAATTAGATAAGCAATACACAACATTTCTACATGCAGCCCATACTTCTCAGAAATATGTTCCACTATGTTTATGGGGACTTATTGCCAACTAAGTCTATATAGTAGTACAGTCTTAGTTTTACTGGACTTGGAATGTACAGTCGACTGTAAATAGGGCATGAGCAAAATTTTATGTAAGTATGACTTGCTTATAGAAATATCTTGTACTCCTTGTTTTTACTCATGTAAATACACTGGTACAAATTTACTGTCTTTACTCTTTGCAGGGAAAGATCACGTTTGCAGATTTATTGGCTGCGGAAGGAATGAAAAGTTCAACTATGTTGTCATGCAGCTTCAGGTGAGTTGTTTGGTACAGTGGTACCTCGGGATGTGAACGGGATCCGTTCCGGAGCCCTGTTTGCATCCTGAACATAACGTAGGACGCGACAGTGCATCTGTGCATGCGCAGGTCACATTTCGCTGCTTCCATGCATGCACATGACGTCATTTTGACCATCTGCGCATGCGCGAGCAGCGCAACCCGAACACACTAAACCTGAAGCATATTTATCCCGAGGTATGACTGTATTCTGTTACCCCAGTGTTCCACAGATGTAGTTAGTAGGTCACCACACTGTTGACTAGGTATTTTGTGGACAAATGTGGTCATTAGGAAAAGCACAAAGTGAGAAATCTCTCCCTTTTCTAGAGCACATTCCAGGGAATTCAGAGGGGGCAGTTATTTTGTGCTGGGTAAGAGAGAGAAATATCTCCCTACTCTGACATACTTGGGGGAGGAGTCAGCATTTCACTTTGTCCCAGTCTTGGAGACACTGAGAAGTGTTCAGTCTCTCATACTGCTTCCAAGTGCCTCCCCAGAGGACATGAGGGAGAGGAGGGATTGGTTTTTTTTAAAAAAATCACACTGATATCTGCTGATAGTCTGAAGTGGCAGGACTCTTACACTTGTCTCTTACACTTGATTGTAAGTAAACCCCACCCCATCCCCAAAGTCCTCTAAAATTTGGGGGAAGTGCACACTTGCACTCACTTTGGGAGGGCCTTTGTAGTGATGAAAATGAATCACATTTTGGTGCAAAAGGAAGAGTTGGGTCCCTTTCCTGGTCTTTTATATGTGCCAGGTGGGTTATGGGTTCAGGAGCAACCACAGATACAGTGGTACCTCGGATTACATACGCTTTAGGTTACATACGCTTCAGGTTAGAGACTCCGCTAACTGAGAAATAGTACCTCGGGTTAAGAACGTTGCTTCAGGATGAGAACAGAAATCGTTCTCTAGTGGCGCATCGGCAGCAGGAGGCCCCATTAGCTAAAGTGTTGCTTCAGGTTCAGAACAGTTTCAGGTTAAGAACGGACCTCCGGAACGAATTAAGTACTTAACCCAAGGTACCACTGTAATAGCTTTCTACCGTTATTTGCATCCGTTTGTTTTTTGAATTAGGGATGGAGTGAGGACTGCACTCTTCCCCCTCCCACCCCACATAAATAAATAAATAATACAACATACCATAAAACCTTTGTGACAGAGCAAAGGTTTTATGTTGCACTTCTAAAGATGTTTTGTGGTTGTGACTTGAAAATGAGAGTTTCAGTGGTATATGAAAGGTGACGATGTACGAATGCTGGCTCATTTTGGAATTTTGATTCTGCTCCCTTAATCTTCTTTTGATTACAGTGCTTTAGCAAGTTAATAGCATGTTTCAGAGACTGGTTTTAAATTTTCTGTGATGTGAGGAAGGTGTTTTTGAGAAAGATGGGATGAAGCCTGAGGCCATCTCTTAATATGATGAAAAGCTCTGCTGGGTTTTTGTAATAAGAACTCCTGAGTAAAAAGGACTTTATTTTTAGATCTGACTGGTGACATCTTCATTCCTTTTTCACTTCTATTATCTTTTACTCAAATGGCTTTATTTCTACACGTTTTAGCTTGATTGTTGCTCTCCTCCAAATCCCTTCTGAGCTGAAGTATCAGCCAGAACTGAACACAGGGCTCTCACAACATCATGGCCACGGCTGGCCTAAGATACATTGGCGCCTGAGGCAGGAAATCCAAATGGCATTTTACCCCTGGCTAAGGAGTGGGAGAGAATGGGAGAGTGAAGAATTACTGAAAACATCCTGATTTTTAAAGGACACGCAGATTCTTTTGTCTGAGATGGTTGCCTCAGTTGGCTAACTCATGGTCTGGTTGGTCTGGGCCATGGCTGTTTCTAATGGGAGCTGATGCTTTAAGAGCATAAGAAGAGCACTGCTGGATCAGGCCAAAGGTCCATCTAGCCCAGCATCCTGTTCTCACAGTGGCCAACCAGATGCCTGTAGGAAGCCTACAAACTGGACCTGAGTGCCACAGTGCTCTGCACACTATTGATTCCCAGCACTTGTGATTCCAGCAGTGAATGTAGAACATGTCGGGATCTCCGCTCGGCCAAGCTGATAAAGCTCATTTTCCTCTGGCCGAGTCCTTCGGAATCGCCTCCGACGATAATTAATGACCTGAGCCTTTGATGAGGCCTCGGGCACATTCCCGTTCAGCAGAGTTTCCAGCACAGGGAAGTGATGAGATTTATGGCTACATCGCTATGCTTTATTTCTTACTACGCAGACAGCAAAGAAATATACATCCTCTCTCTGTGAAAGACAGAGAGCAACTGAAACAAAGAAACAAAGGAACAGGAAACCACTAATGTCACATCCGTCTCCCGTCTCCCGTGAGACTTCCAACAGCCTGGAATGGCTCTGGAATGTAAACAGAGTCCTGTGACTGTAAGCAGCTGCACAGTGGCAAAACAGAAACTAACATCCTCCCCCTTTCTGTGAACACCACTGGGCAGTGTGTCAGTACAATCTCAGTACAAACCCAGTTTCTGTACATAGGTACAGTGTTGATCCTTCGGAATAACCTTGGACAATAAATCAGCAGGAATTTCATTACCTGGCATGTAGGACACTGTTACGAGTCCTTTCTGAACACATTCCCTAGCATGTTGCAGCTTCAATTGCAAGTGCTTCGTGCTTTGCTTACAACCTTCAGAAGTCAGCAAAGCCAAACAATCTTTGTTGTCCTGATAAACCTGGATTGGACACTTTGCAGGAATTCTCATGTCTTTACACAATTGTAACAACCATTCAGAATCCACAAGTGAATAAGACAGTGCATTCAGTTCAGCTTCACAAGAACTTAAGCTTACTGTTGTTTGCTTCTTGCACAACAATCAAATAGACCAATCAAATAGACATAACTAACAGAACATAGATATTGCAGCTAGTAGTTGATAGCCTTATTCTCCACAAATGTTTCTAATCATTCAAAGCCTTCCAAGTTGTTGGCCACCACTACAAATTGTGCGACCAACTTCCATAGTTTCACTAAGCCACTGTGTGAAGAAGTACTTAATTTTCTCTGTCCTGAATCTTCATATTGGAATCATCCAATGAAGATTCAGATGGTGGATTTACTCTGCTTGATTAGTTGTTCTGTGATGCTTCCCCAGTACTACCATATTATTGTTGTGTTGTGGGGCTATAGCATAACAACAGCAGGACTAAGAATCCCAGAACATTTGCGGTATGAAAAGTTACAGGATTTTAGCAGGAATTGCAAGATATAAACTGATTGGAAATGGAGCAGTATGACTACCTCAAAACATTTCCTGGTGCAGATAGTATGGAAAAAGGGATCATGTATGATCGCTGCCTTCATGAGCACAAATCATCATAAATGCACAATAAAAGGGATGTTTAAAGGGGCCCTTTAGTGCCCATTCAACCAGTTTGTAGATATCCATAATAATAATAATAATTATGGGAGCACTGATAAAACCATCCTATTGATTTTCAGTGCAAGAAATTCCTGAGCACATGTGTGGGTTTTTTTTTTAGAGTTCATTTGCTTTTCCCTTTTCAGTATGACAATACAGGTCTCCACCAATCCTTCAGCATGGTAAATAATGCTCCAAGCCTTTTCAAATTACCCCTAACAGACCTTGCTGAACAATGCAGTGAGATGGAGATATATACAAAAATTACAAGCTTCACAAGGCTAGTAAACTGCAAAAGAATGAGAGAAATGTTGGTTTATGATTACAAGAATCATAAGAGTTACTCAAGTAGAGCAGGAAAGGAGTTATTAAGGAGATGGTATGATTCATTCTTTCTGTAAATGTAACTCTGTTCCATTACAGGTTTACATTAATAGGTAGCTAGCCCATTTCCAGGATGATGTGAAGATAACATATTGATATTCTAATTTCACACGATTGTCTTTTGGGAACTTGCAGAGTATATCCCTACTTATTTCAGCTATGGAAAAAATTGAATTGCCTTTGTAACAGTCAAGGCAACAGCAGCAACCCTTAAATAAGACTGAAACTCTTGCAGGCAAGGGGTAATGGGTCAGGCAGAGAACCAGGGAATCAGGTTGTAAACGACTCTCTCAGATGGATCTCCAACCGTTTTCTTCAGCAACTGCTGCTGGATCCTTGTGAGCCAAATGGAATGGGCCTTACCATTCAGATATCAAGATATATGGTCAGATAATATTCAGTCTTCTTCTGCAGCCAGACCAAAGTTTCATATCCTTTCAAACTCAAGTGCTCTTCAATAGATACAGTTCATGGATTTATGAAGTTTTCAGTGGTTAAGTGATTTAGTAAAGTACCTACGTGTGTGAACTAGTGCAGAGGTGTTCAAGCTAGTGGTGACACTATTTAATTTAAAAAGATAAGTCTTTAAGACAAAAAATTTAAATTAATTCATAGAGAGCAAAGAAGAATATACGAAGAACCCAACTGGATCAAATCAATAGCCTATCTGAGCTAGTAGCTTATTTCATCATCACCATCATCTGTTTATTTGTATGCCACCTTTCCACAAAATTGTGTCGAAAGTAGCTCACAACATCTCAGGCAAACAATTAAGTACAGCGGGAAAACCACTAGCAGGATAAGAGCTCAACAGCACAATAGCACTGATGCTCCCTTGTGACTGAGATTCAGAGGCATTGTACCCTTGATTCTGGCAGAAGTAGACTGCCAGCATGACTAGTAGTTATTCAGAACTTTATCCTCCATGGATTTGTCTAATCCCCTTTTAAACCTGTTTAAGTTGGAGGACATTCCCACTGAATTGCATAATATAACTCTGCCCCGTTGAAGCGGCACTTCTTTTTGTCTGTTCTTCAGCTTTATAAGATGACCCCGGGTTCTAGTATGAAGGAAAATGGAGAAAGACCTGTTAACTTTATCTGCACCATCCATAATTTTATACACTTCTGTCATACCTTTCTTATCTTTTCTTCTAAACTAAAAAGCCCCCCCCCCCCGGCAATTGTAACTTTTCCTCATATGGGAAATACTTTTTCTCTTTCCCCAGGTTGTATGTATGTTTGCAGAAAGATTCTCAACCGTTTTTCTGCCTGCTGAGGCTTTATGAGGAATGAGTATCAGTAATTTTAAGCATGAATATGGATGCAGAGTATCTCTTTACAGTCAGACTCCTTATGCTAAGTATTGAAATTTTAAGAAGAGCTTTTACAACTGAGTCTGTTCCAAGTATGAGAAGTATCAAATCGGAAAGATGATTCTGTTTCTGGGATTAGTTTTGATTGTAGAGTGCATCCAGACATTTTTATGGAGAGTTCAAGTGAGGAGAAATCACTGTTGCCAGATTCTGTGTGTTTGGAAGATTCATTATGAATTGCCTTATTTGTTTAATGTTATGACTTCTGGAAAAAAAGTGTGTTGCGTTTTTTCCAATTTAAGATTCCAGCTTGAAACATGTGATCAGTTAGTGACTAGGTGGTGCATGGTTATGCAGATGAAAAGTAATAGCTAAGTAAGGAGATTTCTGGATGAAAAAATTCCTGCTGGTAAACAGGTTAGATTCTGTCCATATTTGAGCATGAAAGACAGTGATGGGGAGAGACCCATCATGGGAAGATATGAGTCAAATACGTGCTTGTTAGAATCTCCATTACTAAGGAAAGGGTAACTGACAGCACAAATATGGTACTGATTAAAGATGAATGGAAGGGGGGAAAGTTGCCCATAAATCCAGATGTGACAGTATTCAGAAAGGAGTTAGAAGAAGTGGGGGCAAAGAGAGTTAGGGTAGAGTCAAATCAAGAGACTTTGAAAGCTGGGTTGTGGATTTCCATTCCACCAGATACCTGGTACCTGATTCCCCACACCCTGAACAGGATCTTGAACTCCTGCAGCCCATGTGTTGGTCAGAATGTAGGGTGACAGGCAATGGCTTTCATATGTGGGGGACTTGTGCTGCAATTAAAAAGGGGTTGCGAACTAGTTTTGCACAAAATGGGATTAAGAACTGGTCAAATACATCAACCCAATCCAACACACTCTCTCTTACCCATCTTGGAAAGGAACAGGGCAATATGTTTTGCATAAGGGTCTCTTGGTCATCTTGTTTCTTGCAGCCACATTAACAATTGCTAAAAAGTGGGGAAGAACAGGTGAAGTAGTACCAACAAACATGGTTGCTTGCTGTAATGGAAAACCTATCAAAATAGGTTGAAGCACAGTGAAATCTAATGATAGGCAAAGATAGTTTTTGTTGAAGCTGGCATTGCTTTATTACTTATGCTCCACATAAAGAACATGATTGATTGATTGACTCAACCAACCAACACATGGGCTCCTCTGGAGAGATGTTTTGGGTTGGACTTCATTGTGCGGTGGTAGGACTGTTGCTCAGTTTGATGTAACAAAGCTTTTCTCTTTGGGCTGCTGATTATCTGGAAATAGTGCTGCACGCTCAGTTTAATTTGTTACTATTAGCTAAGTAAAATCAAATAAAAGACAGTATTTTTTGCTCTATAAGACGCACCAGACCACAAGACGCATCTAGTTTTTGGAGGGGGAAAACAAGAAAAAAATATATTCTGAATCTCAGAAGCCAGAACAGCAAGAGGGATCGCTGCGCAGTGAAAGCAGCAATCCCTCTTGCTATTCTGGCTTCTGGGATAGCTGCGCATTCTCTCCATAAGACGCACACATATTTCCCCTTACTTTTTAGGAGGGAAAAAGTGAGTCTTATAGAGCAAAAAATATGGTATTTAAAAGAAAGAAGAGCCCTGCTGAATCCCATCTAGTCCAGCATTCTGTTTGCACAATGGCCAGCGAGAAGCTCTTGGGAAGCCCACAAACAAGGCATGAGTGCAGCATCACTCCCTAGTTCATGTTCCCTGGCAAGTGGTATTTGGAGAAATTCTGTCTGTGATATTCAGCGTTATATATAGCCACCCTGACTAGTAGCCACTGATGACCTTATCCTCCACTAATTAGTCTAATCCCATTTTCAAACTCACTTTATTTGCTAGCCTTGGTTTTCATGTGCCCTTGGCAAATCCATTTTGGGGAACTTTCCTAAAGCCAAACTTAGACAGATGTTTGATGTGAGAGAGCTAGGGACAAGATCTCTTGCATTTTTAAAAAAGGCATCTATCTATATATTCTCATTCCCATGAGCAAACAGCAGATTTTAAAGTGTGATTTCAATCAAGAAAACAGTGGAGGTAGTGCAGAAGTAGAGGGAGTGTCCACCCAATTCCACCATCCTGATCCGATTCCTCCCCACACCAAGTTTCCATTGAGCTTTGATAGAGAGAAAAAGCAGCAGGGAATCTGATCACAGCATGCCTAGTTGTGGAGTCCACTTTTCCAGACTGAATGCACAATAATCTGGGCTACTAAAAAATGCCAAGCCTGAACAGAGAGGATATCCCCCCCCCCAATTTTCCCATGGATTGTATTTAGCTACTGTGTTGTAACTGATGCTGGAAAATTAGTGCTATAAAACCAGTATACACCTCTTTCAGGGCCGGAATCTTGCAGACCTCAGAAGAAGCCAGCCGCGGGGAACTTTTACACTGAGCACAACCCTCCGATTAGGCAAACAGATTCTAGAATCTATAGAAGCCATTCATTCAGTGGGATTTTTGCACCGAGACATCAAGCCTGTGAGTAGCTTGTGATGACCTTGTTTTCCCTACTTACAGAGTTTGCATTTCCTGTTGTTGATGCTGTTACTTTATCCAAGAACTTTACTATTAAGTGAGCATAGCTATCCCTACAATTGAGGAAAAAAATGGCAACCATCCAGTTGATACAGTGCTGTTCCTCAGGGGTGTTTGATTCCTTCCTTTTACGATATGAGGCTTGATTTGGGCAGGTTGGCAGCCATCCAGTGCGTATAACTTGTGAATAGCAAGGTCCATGCCTCAGTCACATGCATGGTCAGCTTAATAGACTTTGATAATTTGCACTTTGCAAATAGTGTACAGAAAGCTGCAATGTGAGAAGGTTAGGAGTTTCATTACAGATTTCATTAATTGGTTTAAGAATTATTTCTTCCCAAAGAATACCAGGAACAGTAATTGTATGAGGCTGTCCAGGACTCTCTTGCAGATAATTCCCTCCCTAAACTATGGTTCTTAGGATTCTTTTAAACTGGGAGTAAACTGTTGCGGGTTAAATGTATCAGTATGCCAGAGGGTTTCCCAGATAGCAGAGATAAAACCCAAGTGTCAGTTCTACACTGAGACCACGTTGATCCAGTCCTAGCGATATATTACCCTGTCTCAAAGCAGTTGGCATTTATTTAAATTTATATTTAAAACTTGTATCCCACCTATTTTAAAAAGAAACTGAAGGTGGTCTGGAAACTTCAGCTGGTACAGAATTTGGCAGCCAGCTTGCTCACCATGGCAAGATGGTTTGAGCATATTACACTGGACTTGGCCCAACTGTACTGGCTGCCAAGTACTTTTGACCTATAAAGCCCTAAATGGCTCAGGACCATGATATCCCAAGGACAGTCTCTCCCCATACGAACCAACCTGTACCCTGTGATCATCCTCTGAGGCCCTTATTTGTGTACCTCCTCCATGAGAGGTCTGGAGGGTAGCAACACAATAATGGGCCTTTTCTATGGTAGCTTCCCATTTGTGGAATGCTTTCCCCAGGCAGGTTTGCCTGGTACGTTCATTACATATCTTTAGACGCCAGGCAAAAATATTTCTCTTCAACCAGCTATTTGGCTGATTAACAACCTATGGCTTTTTAAACGTATTGGGGGTGTGTGTCATTGGTTTGTTTATGTTTTTGTTTTATTCTGTTTTTGTTTTCTCATTTTATATTTTTCTGTTGTGAACCGCCCTGGGAGCTTTGTATGAAGGGCAGTATACAAATTTAATACAGGACAATCGTAATAGTAGTAGTTGTAATAATAATACTAAGAAAGGTGCTGGTTTTGACCTATAAAGCCTTAAATGGCTCAGGACTGCAATACCTCAATGACCTCCTTTCCCCATATGAACCAACCTGAGTCCTGCAATCATCTGAGGGCCCTTCTTCATGTACCTCCTCCATGAGAGGTCCAGAAGGCAGCAACAATTGGTGGTGGAACTTGCTGAAAACCCACCTAAAGTTGTTGAGCACCCACCGCCACAATTGCCATGCCAACACAATTGCCGCAGCAACACGATCATGGCGCTGCACAGCCCGGGGAGTTCCGACTGAGTGTGCTAAGTAAATTTCAATTCATGTGGGTTGAGTGGGAGGCCTTGGTCCATCTTGGCTTCATCTTCAGGCAAGTGTTTAACAATTAGAAGTATTTTTTCGTGCTGAGCATATGGATTACTGCAAACACTGTCTAAAGGTAAGATGAAAATGAAACTGGTTTTCAGAGCATGTAAGCCAGGGGAAGCTACAGCATTTGGGATGAGCTGCAATTATTGAGCTAGAAAACAGGGTTGATTAGTAGCTGGGGCTGCAAATGCCCTTGTAGCAAGTGGCTGATAACTTTAAGCATAATTATATTAATAACTGGTATGATCTCTCTTATTACATGTGAAAAATAAATATTTTCCCCAACTCTTCTTATCCTTCTGTTTTTCTCTAGTCCAACTTTGCCATGGGACGCCTCCCCTCAACCTACAGAAAATGTTATATGTTAGATTTTGGTCTGGCTCGACAGTATACCAATACCAACGGTGAAGTCCGGCCTGTAAGTGATGCTTTTTTCCCCATTTCTATGGGGGATTATAAATATTTCAAACAAATCCTGATTATGTTAATTCATTCTCACAATACTGTTGATGCTGGTTGGGCAGGTACACTTGATGGGATAGAAACTGAACTTAGCAGGTTCTCCCTGTTGTAACAGAGAGACTGTATTTCTTTTGAAAACATGGTTTTTCTATTATTATTATTATTATTATTATTATTATTATTATTATTATTATTTTCATTTATTAACCACCCTTCGCTGTAAGGTATACATGTGCCTGTTGCTCAGTGTCTTGGCTCAAAACCAAAGGAAAGAGAAGTGCTGTTTTAAGAAGTTCACATTGTTTCATTACAGTGGTACCCCGCAAGACGAACGCCTCGCAAGACGGAAAACCCGCTAGACGAAAGGGTTTTCCGTTTTGGAGGCGCTTCGCAAAACGAATTTCCCTATGGGCTTGCTTCGCAAGACGACAGCCCATAGGGAAATCTCTGGGACAGCGGGGAAGCGCGTCTTCCCCACTGTCCTCGGACCTCCTCCCGCCGCCCGGGACAGCAGGGGACTTCTCCGCTGTCCGGGGCGATTTTAAAACGCTGCCGTCCCGGGGGAGCAAAGTCTTTCGCCCCTCGCCCGCCTTCAGAAGAGGTCCTGGACCTCTTCTGAAGGCGGGCGGGGGGCGAAAGACTTTGCTGCCGCCTGCCTGCCTTCCCGGGAGAGCGGAGAACGCAGCGCTTCTCCGCTCTCCCGACGGCTTTTGAAGGCAGGCGGGGGGGAGCAAAGACTTTCGCCCCCCGCCCGCCTTCAGAAGAGGTCCAGGACCTCTTCTGAAGGCGGGTGAGGGGCGAAAGACTTTGCTCCCCCGGGACGGCAGCGTTTTAAAATCGCCCCGGACAGCGGACGACTTCTCCGCTGTCCGGGGTGATTTAAAAGCCCCTGGGAAGGCAGACAGGGGGGGACAAAGATTTTCGCCCCCGCCAGCCTTCAGAAGACCTCTTCTGAAGGCTGGCGGGGGGCGAAAATCTTTGTCCCCCCTGCCTGCCTGCCTTTAAAAGCCCTCCCGGGAGAGCGGAGAAGCACGCTGCGTTTCTCCGCTCTCCCGGGAAGGCAGCCAGGGGGGACAAAGATTTTCGCCCCCCGCCAGCCTTCAGAAGAGGTCCAGGACCTCTTCTGAAGGCTGGCGTGGGGCAAAAGTCTTTGTCCCCCCTGCCTGCCTTCCCAGGGGCTTTTAAATCGCCCCGGACAGCGGAGAAGTCCTCCGCTGTCCGGGGCAATTTTAAAATGCTGCCGTGGGGGGGGGGAGCAAAGACTTTCGCCCCCCCCAGCCTTCAGAAGAGGTCGGGGGACAGATTGTCCCCGGACCTGGTCTGAAGTCGGTTTCCCTAGGAACGCATTAATTGATTTTCAATGCATTCCTATGGGAAACCATGCATCGCAAGACGAAAAACTCGCAAGAAGAAAAAACTTGCGGAACGAATTAATTTCGTCTTGCGAGGCACCACTGTAGTTTACTTTTCCTGAAGCTCCCATTTTTTAAACATGTCTTGTGTGGGAAGTTGGAAAGTTGGGGGGTGTTATTTTGGAACTAATTTTCTTTTGAGGTGTTCTCTTTTAAAACAAACAAAAACAAACAAACATTTGTTTTCATCCTGTGGCCTTTTCCACCTTCCTTCTTTATGGTTTCAGCATTATCAGCAGGTATGTAGAGGCGAATCAGCATCCTCTATCACTGGTGCTCTGAGGCACATAGTGATGTTTCTTGCCTGCAAGGTGCTTCCTTGCAGGAGCCTTTTGTGAACATGGACGAGCTCTGTATGTTCAGTTGGGAGGAGGGCAATGTTTTTCTCAATAAGCTGATCCTCTGCTAAAGATAATTTGAAGTCTATCAGAAGCATGTAAGAAGCAGCACTCTCCTATCTCACTCCATGTCTAATTCCTGTTCTCCTCCGCCCTTGTCCTTTTTAAAAACCTGACATCTTCATTTCATGACTCAGCTGCTATCAGCCATAGATTTATGCAAGCTGCCCAACTTCTGATGGCTGCATAAGGAGCTTACAGATGAGCTGAGATTTAAGAAGGGCACATGTAAGAAATGGGTAAAAAGGGAAATCACGAAGGAAGAGTATACAAGAGTATCCAACAGGAAGAAGGTCAGGCAGGCCAAAGCTCAGAATGAGTTCAGGCTTGAAAAAAGAGGTTAAAATTAATAAAAAATGTTTCTTTGGCTGTGTTTGAAGCAGGAGGAAGGACAAACAAGTCCTTCTTAATGGAGAAATGCTATTGGATGACAGGGAGAAGGTGGAACTGCTCAATGCTTGCTTTCTATCTCTCTTTACCCAAAAGAGAAGCAGTGCCCAACCTGGTGATAACATAATAAGTGATAACATAATAAGTGATGCAAGGTGGGAGCTGCAGCCCAAGATAGGAAAAATGGTGGTTTAGGGTACACCTAGGTACTTAGAGTGGATTCAAATCTCCAGGGCCTGATGAGCTGCACCCAAGGGTACTAAAGGAGTTTGTGAGTCTTTGTCTGTAATCTTTGAGAATTCCTGGAGAATAGGTAAGGTCTCTGCAGACGAGAGGCAGGCAAATGTTGTCCCCTTCTTCAAAAGGGGGGGAAAAGAAGACCTAGGTAATTACTGACTGGTGAGCTTGACATCAATACCAGGAAAGTCCTAGAACAGATATTTCAACAGTTGGTCTATGACCACTTAGAAATGGATGATGTGCTTACTAAGACCCAGCATAGGTTTCTCAAAAACGTGTCTTCCCAGATGAATTTCATTTCTTTTTTTGATAGAGCTACAAGCTTGGTGGATCAGGAGAATGGATATAGTGTATTTTGATTTCAGTAAGGCTTCTGACAAAGTCCCCCCATGATATTCTTGTAAGGAAGCCGGTAAGATGTGAGTTGAATGAGGTAATTTTTAGATGGATTAGTAGCTGGTTGACTGCCTGAACCCAAAGAGTGTTCACTAATGCTTCCTCATCATCCTGGAATAAAGTTACAAGCAGGGTTCTGTCCTGGGCCCATTGTTGTTCAATGTCTATAAAGTATCCAATTGACTTGGATACTATGGTAACTATGGACATACAACAGATGGATAATGGTAAAAGATGCAGTAAACTTAAAAGGAATTGAGGGGATGATCATCACATTTGCAGATGGCAACAAGCTAGGAAGGGTAACTATTGCCGCAGAAGACGGAATTGGGATTGAAAATGTCCGTAACTGATTGGAGAACTGGGTCCAAACTAACAAAATGAATTTCAATAGGGACAAATGTAAGGTTCTACCCTTAGGCAGAACCAGCTGCACAAATATATGAATCGGGGGTGGGTACCTGACTTTCTGGTACTATATGTGAAAAGGATCTGGGGTCTTAGCAGACCACAAGCTTAGCATGAGGGACGTGTGCAGCTGCAGCAAAAAAGAAAAAAAAGTCACTGCTATTCTAGGCTGCATCAACAGATTCCCAGGTAGTCACTGCTCCTCTGAAACAAAGCTTTGTAATGGAGCTCAGTCTTTCTATACTGTTTAAAGATAGTCCGCCTAACACATGACCTCATCCACAGAAGACCACACAGAGCCCAGCATCATGTCACCCAACCTGGTAGATACCAAAGTGCAGAGCAGAACACCCAGTTAGTACTCTTTCTTCTATAGCATCAGTTTGAATAATTGGCTGCTGAATGGGGGAGTCCCACCCTGACTAATCCAAATGATGGTCAAACTCTCATTTGCCTTCTTAGTTGTCCTGCTGGAAAGTGGACAGGTAGATTCTGGGTTTGAAAGGAAAGTATAATGGAAGTCCAGCTTCTGTGCAGGGCATTGCTATATATTTGTAATGTAATTTGCTAATTGTTTGTCCGCCAAGTGTACCTCAACCCACTTGCATGCCACCATTGGAGTCTACTTTGCACATTTGATGAAGGTTGCTGTTAGCAAAATGCCACAATGTTTCCTCTTCTTCTAAGTAGTTACAGTGAGGGGGGGAAAGTATTTGATCCCCTGCTAAGTTTGCCCGTTTTCCCTCTGACGAAGAAATGACCAGTCCATAAGTTCCTGGAGTGGCCTAGCCAGTCTCCAGACCTTAATCCCATCGAAAATCTGTGGAGGGAGCTGAAGGTTTGAGTAGCTACACATCAGCCTCAAATCTTACTGACTTTGAGAGGCTCTGCAAAGAGGAGTGGGACAAAATACCTCCTGAGATGTGTGTAAACCTGGTGGCTACCTACAAGAAACGTCTGACATCTGTAATTGTCAACAAGGGTTTTACCATCAAGTACTAAGTCACATTTTGCAAAGGGATCAAATACTTATTTCACTCATTATAATGCACATCTATCTCAGACTTTTGTCTTCTGGATTTCTGGGGGTTTTCCTGTTGTTATTCTGTCTCTCACAGCTACAATAAACCTACCATTAAAATTATGGACTGGTCTTTTCTTTGTCAGAGGGCAAACAGGCAAATTTAGCAGGGGATCAAATACAGTGGTACCTCTGGGAGCCCCGTTCGCATCCTGAAGTGAACGCAACCTGCGTGTGCGCGGGTCGCGATTCTCCGCTTCCGCACATGCACATGACATCATTTTGAGCGTCAGCACATGCGAGAACGGTGAAACCCGGAAGTAACACACTCCGTTACTTCTGGGTTGCCGCGGAGTGCAACCCCAAAATGCTTAACCGGAAGTTACTTCAACCCAAGGTACTTTCCCCCCTCACTGTAATAGTCACATTGTTCATTGTCCAGAACCAATTATTTAAGATTGGGTACTTTCCATTATTTAAGAGGGTACTTAAACCAGTTACAGGTTTTAAATGCAAGTCATGTAACCTGTAAAGTCATGCTTTCTTTACATGATTGAGGCATAAATCAGAAGATCTGAAACTTTATGGAGGGCAGTTTTTGCAATATTTTTATGGCTTGCCCTTCAACTAGATTAGAGCATGAATAAATAAAAAGGCTTATTTATCTATAATAATGGTTCTTTCAGTTGCC